AGTTATGGGTTGACATAATCTGGGGGAACCGAAATACGATGAATGGGAAGAAGCTGCGGTTCACTGCGCCAAAAATCACAAATGGAAATGTGGAAGTAGAAATGGAAGCCGAAGATGTTGTTTCAGAAATCAAATTCTGGGAAACTGCGATGATTATGTATGTGTTGGGATCCAGCCTCACTATGACTGCGGTGAAACACTACATGACCAAAACGTGGAATTTTGTGACGCTGTCGGAAATGTTCTACAATGACGAAGGCTATTTCATACTGAAATTCAAAACAAAGAAAGAGCGGGAGCAAGTTCTGATGAGAGGACCTTACACATTCCACAACTTGCCAATGGTGATTATGGAATGGAGGCAAGATTTCTCAATGGAGCGAGACATGCTTAGGACTGTACCAATTTGGGTAAAGTTTCCTAATTTACCTTTGTCACTTTGGGGTGAAACCAGCTTGGGGAAAATAGGGAGCGTGGTGGGAAACCCCCTATTTACTGATGAGTGCACAGCAGCAAAACTGCGAGTTACCTATGCCAGGATTCTGGTTGAGGTGGATGTTACTCAGAAACTTTGTGAAGAAATTACAATACGTGACAACCATGGAAATATAAGACAGCAAAAGGTGGAGTATGAATGGCGGCCACAATTCTGTGAAAAGTGCCAAAAACTAGGGCATGTGTGTGCAAAGGAAAAGAGGATTGAGAGGAGATGGCAGCCTAAGCAGAATGGGCTTGATCAGGGTGAAGGTTCTGGTCGCAACAAGGGAACCGATGATCAAAAGATGCAAGAGCAACTAAAGCAAGATAGGCAAGGAACTGTGTCTCCTGAGAAAGAACAACCGTGGACAACAGTGGAGAGAAAGAATCGTGATAAGGGAAAAACTGCCTTAACAGGTACGCCTAGCCCAACTCTCTGCAATTTCGATTCTGAGACCATGGAAGTTTGGAATGACAGAAACGGTACCACTGAAGGGGTGCCATGATAGTGTCCTGGAATATTAGGGGGCTAAACAAAAGGGCCAGGAGTAGAGAGATTGGCGCCCGTCTCTCAAGACTCCAGCCCAGGATTGCTATTCTGGTGGAAACCCGTGTAAAGGAAAAGAATGCTGGAAAATGCAGGAAGGTTTTGGGTCAACAGTGGCAGGTGATTGACAACTATGAGAAACATGAAAATGGTAGAATTTGGGTGTTATGGAATGCTAGGAAGATAACTGTGCAGAAGGTTCAGTGCTCAACCCAATTTCTATTTTGTGGGTTATATAACTGTGATGGGAAATTCATTAGATGGCTCACTGCAGTCTATGCCTCAAACAGCCTCGAGGAAAGGAGAAAACTTTGGATAGACATGGATAGTTTAGGTAAAAGCCTACAAGGGCCTTGGATTATGATGGGGGATTTTAATAATGTGCTTGGGGCTCAAGATAGAATGGGAGGTAGAGAAGTCAGAGAATACGAATATAAGGATTTGAGGCAGATGATGCAGCAGCAAAATCTTTTTGAGGTGGAGAATAACGGGGAGAGATTTACCTGGTTCAACAAACATGAGAAAGGGGCTATATATTCGCGGATAGACAGGGTCCTTGCTAATCCAGCTTGGTTCCAGGAAAATCAGCATGTTAGTTTACACATTTTGGAACCAGGCATCTCAGATCATGCCCTGTTGTGCCTGTAGAATGATAATCACAATACGAGCAGAAATTATAGCTTTAAATTTATGAATAGGGTCACTGATATGGAGGGCTACCATGATGCAGTCTCTAAAACATGGCATGGGGGAAGGAACCTATGGAGCAAACTTAAAATGATGCAACAGGTAATCATGAAGCTTAGCATACCTCTAATTGGGCTTAAGTCCCAAATTGTGGAGGCTAGAGCACAACTGAAAGAAATACAGCAGAACCTGGTAAAGGATAAGTTTAATGGCACCCTAATAGTGCAAGAAAAGAACAGCAGTGAAAAGCTCATCCACCTAAATGAAATGGAGGAACACCTTCTAAAGCAAAGGTCTAAAATTGCTTGGATTAGGCTGGGGGATGGTAACAACTCTTTTTTTCATGCTTCTCTAAAGAGTAAACAAAAACAAAGCACTATTTCTAGTCTACAGCGAGAGGATGGTAGTAGGGCAAACTGCCAGGATGAAATCTCTAGGGAAGTTTTGAACTTCTATGACCAACTGTTGGGGAAATCCAATGAGAAGATTGCAGGGATTGATATTGGCGCGATTAGGATAGGGAAGCAGCTAACGATGGAGCAACGAGTGGGTTTGGTTCAAGATGTGACTGAAAAGGAAATTTGGAGAGCCCTCACTAGTATTGACGACCTTAAAGCCCCTGGAGTTGATGGTTATGGCTCCAAATTTTTTAAAGCTTCGTGGAGCACTGTGAAAGAAGATGTTATCAAGGAGGTTAAGGTTTTTTTCAATGAAGGCAGGTTAGACCATAGATTCAACAAAACCTTGGTTACATTGGTCCCCAAACAAGAAAATGCTAAACACATCAAAGACTATAGACCCATCTCCTGTTGCACTACTCTTTACAAGATCATATCAAAGGTGATGGCTGCGAGAATGAGCAAGGTCCTGAAACATATTATCAGCAAGAACCAAGCTGCATTTGTCCCTGGTCAAAAGATACATGACCACATTCTACTAGCGTACGAATTAGTCAGAGGCTATACTAGGAAGGATGGTACTCCTAGGTGCGTGCTCCAAATGGATATCCAAAAAGCATATGATTATGTTGAATGGACTGCAGTGAAAAGCATCTTTATGGAGATGGGTTTCCCCAGGAAATTCGTGGGCTGGGTAATGCAGGCTATAACCACTGTCAGCTACCAATTCAAAATTAATGAAAAGCTCACGACTAGGTTGATTGCAAAAAGAGGATTAAGGCAAGGAGACCCTATATCCCCTTTGCTTTTTGTTATAGTTATGGAGTATCTACATAGGAAGGTATTAGATTTATGCAATGTCCCTAATTTCAATTTTCATAGCAAATGCGAAAAGATGGGCACCATTGACCTGAGTTTTGCAGATGACCTTCTGTTGTTCACAAGAGGGGATGAAATTTCTGTGCAGCTGATTATGGAAAAATTCCAGGAGTTCTCAAGAGAGACAGGCTTGGTGGTAAACCCTGCGAAGTGAAAACTGTTCTGTGGGGGTATGGACAGGAGAACCATTAAAAACATTGCTGACATAACTGGTTTTAGTCTTGGATCTTTTCCTTTCAGGTACCTTGGCATTCCTCTGACAAGTAGGAAGTTGTCAACAAACCACTGCTTGATTTTGGTTGAAAAAATAGCAGCAAAAATCAACCATTGGAGCTCCCATTTGCTGAGCTACGCTGGAAGAGTCCAGCTCATCAATAGTGTTGTGTTCAGCACCATTAATTTCTGGTTGCAGGTGCTTCCTCTACCTAAGGAAATTTTGAACAAATTAAAAGCTATATGTAGAACGTTCCTTTGGACAGGGAAGGGTGGGGTCAGCAGAAAATCCCCCATTGCCTGGAAGAGGTTGTGCCAACCTAAAAATAGTGGAGGGCTAAACATCCTGGATATTACAATTTGGAACAGGGCTTGTATGTTAAAGCTTTTGTGGAATCTGAGTAACAAGCAAGATACCCTTTGGGTGAAATGGCTTCATGCCTACTACATGAAAGGCGAGGAAACATTAAGGGTGCCTATCAAAGTGTCATGTTCGTGGATTCTAAAAAGCATCTTAAAGGCCAGGTCTGGGCTGAACTCCATCAAATACTGGCATCAGGCGCAGGTTGACTGCAGGTTTACAGTCAGGGGAATGTATTATGATTTATTGGATCCAGTGCCAAGTGTTAATTGGAGGAAGTTGTTGTTTGATAACGAAGCATCCCCAAGAGCTCTTTTCAACTTGAGAATGGCGTGTAACAAGAGGCTAGCAACAAATACTCGCCTTTTTAAATTTGGTTTGATCAACGAGGAAAAGTGTGAGTTTTGTAGCGAAAAGGAGAACATCCAGCACCTCTTCTTTGAGTGCCATGTTATGCGTAGTATCTGGCAAAGCGTCTTGCACTGGTGTAACGTCTACTGTAGGCCCAAACGATGGGATGAGGAGCTGGAGTGGATAATTGCTAACAGTAAAGGGAAAACCTGCCGCGACAAAGTATTGAAAACTGCTTTTGCTGAAACTTTACATGGTTGCTGGACCTTGAGAAATAAGAATGTGTATAGGGAGGGAAAAAATGTTAGCAAGATTAAAAATAGTATAGAGAGTAATATTATAAATAGGATAGTTAACAGGTGATGGAAGAAGAAAAAGCTACAAGAGCATGTTGCTCAGCTAATTCTTACAGTGGGATAGACTGGTTGTTTTGATTTTTCTTTCTGACAGTTTTGTGGGCTAGACCCTATGGGTCGTCTGGAGCTTGTACTGTTTTGGGATGTATATATAAATATATCAGTTTTCCAACCAAAAAAAAACATGAAGAAAAGATGCATCAAACAACTGGTTAAAGATGAAAAAAAAAATCTTTTTACAATCAATATGATTTGATACCATTTGTCAATACTTTTATTTTTTTAACATATGAGATAATGAATCTTTTACAAAAAAAGAAAATCTAAAGGTTTATGTATAAAAAATAGTAGCGACGTAGCTCCTCATCTACTTGTTTTTTATTTCTATATATCATTTTAAATGTTAAAAAAAATGGTGGTGAGCAATGATCCACGTCCTCTCTTAATTCCAAATTCCAAATCAACACAAACCGACAAATACAAAGCTACAATGTCATATTAATTTGTGGAAGACCTTTTGTGAGAATCTCTTAAATTATTATTTCACTTAGTACTAGGAATTAAATTTAAAACGTAACACACATAAGTAGCCTTTAAGATACATCACATGGATTCTTATATATAACATTTTCCTTAATTCATATTCATCTTATTAAAGACACGACATTTTCCTTTAGTCACACACACACAATTCCTAACCTAAAAAAACAAAACTTGTCCTTCTTAACAACATGTTTGATTCTACTTCCTCTCACATTGATTTTCAATCCTCACAAACCAAGAACAATACTCACATGCTCACATATTTACCACCATTCAAAAAACCAAGAGTTGATTCTTCAAACCATAACTTAGGAGGAGGGTGTGAATATCAAAAAACAGAAAAAGTGAACTTCTCAAACTTTTCTATACCTAAAGTGTTTCTCAAATCAACTCATCAACAAAACAGTTCAAGAAATGTATTATCTTCAGAAAGAGTACAAGAGAAAGAATCAAAAGCAATTGCTCCTACAAAATTTCAACAACAAAAGCCTTTAGCACAATTGCCACCAACCCTTGATGAACATTCTGAAAATGCTGCTTGCCATAATAGTACTTTTGGAATTAGAGAAAAGAGAAAAGCTAGTGATATTAACGTGTATGATGAACCATCATCTTCTTCTGCGTGTTCACTTGAAGCCTCGAATGATCCAAACTATGGTTTCGGAGATCATGAGAACAATTATGACTCACCATATTTTTGTGATGTAAGTGGAATTAATAAACCATTGACACAAACACAAGCACACGAGAACATGTAAACGCTGACACATATCAGATACCAGACACATATTTAATACGAAGTTACGGTGTTATGCTAGTGTTATGTTAGTTTATAATCATTTGTACTAAGCTCGATATTTTGATGCCACAGGATGAAGAAGAAACCTCAGAAAATATGTTGAAAAAAAAGGGAGCCCATAAAGGAAACAGAATCAAGAGAAGCTACAAGAAAGCGAAATGTCATAATTTAACAGAAAAGGTAAGGAAATTTTTTAAAATATCAATAGAAAAAGAAAAGGAAATATTTGTATTTATGTATGCAAGTTGATTACATGAAACTGATATATATAGTTGTGGATGTTTGCAGAAGAGAAGAGATAAAATCAATGAGAAAATACATATATTGAAAAAGCTCATACCAAATTGCAATAAGGTGCATGAAATAGCTTAATTTAATTTAATTTAATTTTTGTGACAAGAAAGATCTTGTTGAACTTTATCTGTTTTAATTTAATTATATAAACATTTTGCTATGTATGTGTTATAGATGGACAAGGCTTCAATGCTTGATGATGCCATTGATTATCTTAAGACACTCAAGCTTCAATTACAGGTAAATTTCATGTCGTTTTTCTATGTAACATAATTTAAATTGAGATTAATACTATATAGTCTTATATTAATGTTGTGAATTATGATGATGCAGATTATGACAATGGGTAGAGAACTTTGTATGCCACTTAATCATCTTATGATGTTACAAGCAAATCATATGAATATGAATATGAATATGAATGTACAACATTTAATGGGTTTTAGGCCACAAGTAATGTGTCCTATTCCACAAATGAGTAATGGTGTTACAAACAACAATGACATTAGAGTTCAGATGTTTGGTTTTCCCAACCAATTACCACCACCAATGTCAATTCAGAATGCACCTTTCACTCTTCCTATCATTGGAAACTCTTCCACTGCACCTACCTCTTTTGGTAACCAGAATCAACCTAGCAGGACATGTGGCTAATTCTGCACAGGCTCAAAAATGCATGGAACAAAGTAATCAAGCTTTGGCAGCTCTAGCTATTGTTAGTTGATACAAGGATCGGTCAAGATTCGGTCACCTTTAATCAAACGATCGGCTCCCACATCGGGAGATCATTACATTGGTACATTTGGGCTAGTTGCATTCGATGTAAAAACTTTTTACTCACTTGACACTAGAACATTTATTGTCATTTTCCTACTATAAGAAAAAGGGAAAATTAATGCAAGGATTCGTAGGAAAGGAAAACTAGATGTCAATAGAAAAAATTAGGTTTGTTAAAGGCAAGTGTAAAGATGGTTAACACTGCAGAGATGTATCTGATTATATAATAACAGCTACAGGTTTTGAAAATTCTATGCTCGATTCTTGAAACTGTGTAGAGAGAAGACATGTGTTTCGTGCCAACTCAAAGATAGGTCTCGTAGGCTCACAGAGCGCATGTCGAGAGAAAATTTTGCGGCTGCTGAGGTCAAAAGGTTTCAATCATTGTGGGTTAACAAAAGACATACTCTTAACATATAAACATATTTTATACAGCATTCAATCAATTTTTACGATCTTTTAAAAATAATATGTAGCCATTGAACTCTCTTCACTTTTAAGCTATAGGTTTACATTGATAAATTTGCTGTTTTCTCTCCTTTTGATGTCGTCTGAGTGGTTCTTGACTTTCCTACATTATTATCTGAAAGTTTGAGATTTGAGAGAGTTTCACTAAGTAATTCAGAGGCTTCCAAAGTTGCAGTTCCTTCTTCACTGGTAATAGACTTTTCCGGTGTATCAACTTGAGCCTCTTTCTCAAGAGCCAGCTCTAACTCTTCGAGTTCCTCTTCAATATCTTCATCATCAATATCTGTGTATAATGGAGTATGCTCTGCAGCCAAAAACAGCAAAAAATTCAAACCCTAGTAATTATTGATTTCAGGATAATACGAGTCGCAAAAGATATGATGAAATATACCTAGTGCCTTTTCAATTTCCTTTTGCGAATCAATGCTCTCTTGGACATCCCTTAAACAAAGATCAACATCTTCCACGCTTATCTTATTTTCTTTCATTGCGTGTGCTCCAATCTGCATTGCTTCAGAAACCTGATAACATTTGATGGATTAAGGGCTATGATGCATAGGTACGGCTACAGTACCTGGTGCGGATACCGGTACTGGTACGAGATATGACGTTTTTCAAAAAATCAAGGTCTGGGTACGTTAATAAAATATAAGTATTTTCTATAAAGTATATGAGTGGAGAATTAAATTGTTAGGTTTACAACAAAACATCACTATAAAAGTTTTAAAAAAATCAAAAATAATGTTAAGATATAATGATGAAGAAATTAAAATACATAAATGTACTATATTGATATTTGAGAAAACCACAAATTTAACTCGAAATCGAATAATGAGAAAAAATGAGTACCACGAGTACGGTACGTGTACCCGGTGCGGGGTGCGTACCCGGTACCGATACTTCACCATACTTCAGAGATTACGGGATATAACAACGAAAATATGCAGCTCAATGTAATATATTGAATCAGGTATAAACCGATCAATTTGATACAATATGCAAAGTTGTACCTTTTTTGTTGACTCGGCATCAACAATAACACCGAGTACTTCCTCTACTCGATTCAAAAGTGACGAACATTTTTCTCTACTCTGGGTGGCCAACTTCAGCTCCCTTGCATATCTGAGAGCTATTTTTCTGTTCCCGGAATGTAGAGAAGCCACTGCTGATTTTCTTGACCTATAGAAACAATCTGTGAGGAAATGCTTTAATGCAAACATCCCTTACATTGTTTTATACAGATTCATACAATAAACTTACAATTCACAACGCCTGTCAATCACGTCTAATTGTTGCTGAAGCTTCTCAATTGTCCAAATCAAGTACAGTACATCACAATCTAAATTAGAGATGCCGGATAATGCTACTTCTGAGAGCAAAACTTTTACCCCCTATCAAATTAAAAAGGGATATAAAACAAGCATTTCAGGCATAAAAATCTAATCAGCATTGATAAATGATAATTCCTCTCGCAATAAGGTAATAATCCTGGCCAGTATTAATGATTATCGGAATTACTATTAATTTACTAGAAATATCAACTGATTTTTTTCAGATCATAAGTACAACTTTAGAAAGTTTTAGTACCTCTACAAATTCATTCTTACGGACTGACAGATACTGTGCTGTTCTACACCCTGACAGATACCTCAACATTACAGAAGCTTCATCAGGCCCTCCACATATCTCCTGAAATTTCTTCATTGTGATGATACAAGATGAATTCCAGTGACTTTCTGATAGATGTTTTACAACCTCAGCAGCCTTATCCTACATATGAAGAAACAGAACAGTACTCTGAATTATATATCAAAAATGTTTAGCATACTTAAACAAAGGAAAGTTTAGCCCAATCCTCCAAACTTAATTGACTTGCTACTAGCACCAGCATAGCATTAAAGCAAACATGAACAGTTGCTGACATCAGACGTCATACACCATGGAAATAAATCGATGCACACAATCCTTGTGCTGCAGAGTTATTAAACAGTTTGGAAGAATAAAATAAAATCCTGGGAGAATAAATTCTAGAAAAAGCATTGTCCCTATGTTTAAAGTATTTATAAAGAAGAATTCATTAATGTGAAATTTGTTTGGAACTATAATAGGTAACAAATTCCATTGTTGACTAGTGATTTTGGTATGTAGTATCTCAATACGATATTTAGTTTTCTATCTCAAAATTGGTAAGGGTAATAGATGTCAGACTTTGCGTCACGAGAATATAGATTGATAAATGTTAGAAGTGTTTGATTTATCGAAATTGAAAGATATCAAACAAATGCCAGATTTCTCAGAGACCTTAGATGCTTCTGCTGTGTACAGATAAGAATATTGACATGGAGCCATTCTTCAATAAAAATTATAAATAAACTCTACAAGGGTGGCCAGGTTCATGAATTATATGTTGGTCAATCTTAATTACAAATGAACAAGGTAAACCGAACATATGCATAAAATAAACAAAAGGAAAACAAAAAACAAAACAAAGAAAAACAGATTGCTAACAACCTTAAGCAGAGGAGTTAGGACCACAGATTCTTCAGCCATGATATCCGGTGCAGCTGGTCTGGATATTAAGTTGGTCACTTTTCGGACTAGTTGGGAGAATCTTCCAGTCGTTGGATCAACAAGATCCCCAGGTCTTGTGATGTCACCTTCATTATACATTAGAGACTGAAAAATGATAAAATGTAAAGACAAAAAAACAACAAAACACTAAGCATGTGTTCGGATGAATGTCTTATCTTTCTTTTCTAAGTTAAGGAAGCTTTAAATATATTCCAAAAATCAATTAAGTAGGATTGAAATGTGATATTATCATCTATCACATCAAAAATATATAGACTTAACCCTCTAAAACCCTCCATACAAACATGCCCTAAAGCAAATCAAATTAAGTTTAACCATCATGAATTCTATGTAATTGCAAGAAATAAGTTAAACACAACAAAATATATATTTGATTACACGTTTGTAGCACTCATAACTAGGGGTGTTCAAGAAAACCAAGAACTGAACCGAGCCACCAAACCGTTATATTTGGTTAGTGACCCAAACCATATTGCTCAAACAGTTATAGAACCGAATCGAAAACTGAAACCCTCCAAAACCCTCCACACAAACATGCCCTAAAGATAACAACTGAAGTTGTGTATTAAATTAAGTTTAACCATCATGAACTCTATGTAAGTGTGAGAAATAAGTTATACACAACAAAATTTATATTTGGTTTTACGTCTGGAGTACTCAGAATCGATTCTCAATGTGTATAATTGATTCTGATATGTTTGGTTTGGTTGCTCTCAAATAAAATTGAATATGCTTTTTACTTTTTTAGAAATGATTTTACTCGAAGCAAGGATTTATAGTTTTAGAGTCTAATAGCATGTTTGGTTTGGCTTTTGGAAGAGTCAAAAGCAATTCTACAAGTGTATAATTGATTTTAGAGTTTTAGAGTAATTTAGAGATATTTGGTTTTTCTAAAGTAGAATTGATTTTGTCTCCAAAATTAATACTTGAAGCTACAATTTATAGTTTGAGTTTAAACCTGATTTTTACACTGAAATTTGTTATTCAACTCACTTTTAGATAGATATATTCAAACATAAATGCAGAAACTCAATAATGTCAAAATCAATTCTATCAAACTCAATTCTGTCAAAATCAATTATATCTACCTTCAATCCAAACACACACTAAATTTAAATTTAAATTTAGTGTTCAACCCACTTTTACACGAGTGTATCCATATATGAATGACTTTAACTTCAAACTCTAATTTTGGTCTGGATCAATTTAACATAATCAATTCATTGAAAATCAATTTTCTTCACCGCAGAACCAAACAAAGATAAAATAGCATGCTTATAAGAGAAAGGTATGAGCGAATGACAGTGACACTCACCAGTACATCGTCGATACACAAAGGGGTTAACCCTCCTCGATTAAACCAATCATTCTTAACCTAAAAACATCGAACATAACGTCAGAGGAAAAAGAGTAAAAAACAGAGGGAAATTAGAAAAACCCTAGTAGCAAGTACCTGAGAAGGTCGAATGAGTAGAAACCGAAAATGAGAAGCGATTTTGATGATCAAATCTCTCCAGAAGAGGAAATTTGGTTGCCAATCGGATCTTTGACCGGAAAATGCCTTGAATCGAGCAACGGCGATAACTTCGTCGTTCCAATCGGGAACTTCCTTTGCTATGAAATCCCTTACATTGGAATCCATTTTCCAAACGCGATTATTCAAAAAGCGATTAAGTTGGTCCCTTCCTTTTTCACTGTTTTCTTCACTCGACCCTTTCTCCTTACCGCTATGGCTTATTCATTCATTTTCCTCTTTCACGTTCCATCCATTCAAACATAATTTTTATTATTATATTATAAAAACTAAATAAACAAAC